ACCATTTACCTTAAATCGGAGGAAGATATATACGGGAGCTATATCTAAATCTGAACCGATTTTCACGAAACTTTGCACACATCATTCTAGACTTAATTCAGTGCGCTATGCCAAATTTCGTGCAAATCGAAAGATTTTCAGGGTCTAAAGTCCGTAAATCGGGCGAAACTATATATGGGAGCTATATATAAATCTGAACCGATTTTCACGAAACTTGGCACACATCTTTCGTGGCTCAATTCAGTACGCTATGCCAAATTTCGTGCAAATTGAAAGATTTTCAGGGTCTAAAGTCCGTAAATCGGGCGAAACTATATATGGGAGCTATATATAAATCTGAACCGATTTTCACGAAACTTGGCACACATCTTTCGTGGCTCAATTCAGTACGCTATGCCAAATTTCGTGCAAATCGAAAGATTTTCAGGGTCTAAAGTCCGTAAATCGGACAAAAATATATATGGGAGCTATATCTAAATCTGAACCGATTTTTCCCAATTTCAATAGGGTTCGTCCTTGGGCCAAACAAATGAGCTGTGCCAAATTTCATCCAAATCGGATCATAAATGCGACCTGTACTTTGTTTACAATTTAACATGGACAGACGGACATGCATAAATCGATTCATAAAGTGATTCTATGCATATTCTCAAAAGGAACCATGGGTCTATCTCGATTATTTTTGCCTGTTACAAACATATGCACAAAGACATAATACCCTGTACCACAGTGTGGTGAAGGGTAAAAAAATAGGGCTTGTATTTGCCTTAGATATAATTTAGATATTATGGTTTGTTTTAATCCAAGCTTGTGATAGCCCATATAAATTTTTTTTAATAATGTGCTAAAAAGCGCTTATTAACCCCTCCCCCCATTCACGACTTTAATTTTTCAAGATTTTCAATGAGCTGGTAAATTAATACCAATGCTTGTTAAGGTTTGTATCTTTGCACGTATATATTTGAAAATTTAAAAGGGAAGAAAAATAATTTACAAAAAAATTTTGTTATTGTTTTTTGTAATTAAAGAAAAGTCCTTATTTTTGATGGCGGGCATGATAGCTCCTCACTGGAACATCGGAATCCGAAAATTCCAACGGTATTAGAAAGAGTACATGTCTGGCTCTCATATGAACTAAGATTATTGACTTCGCTCTAAAATTAACAAACTGGCGGACATTTGAAAAAATATTTTTGGAAAATCGCTGATTTTTGGCCAAAAACTAAGTTAACAAATAAGGAAGATCTTCACCGATTGACTTTATCCTAGTTCATACGATAGCTATACACTCACAGAAAAACCTGTAAAAATTTGGAATCGATTGGGTTATTAGTTTTTGAGTTATCGTGCCCGTCATTCGCAAAAGAGAAAAACGTGTTTAAAGTTTGAGAAGCCCTTCAGCCGTCACTTGATGCTGACACAATAAATCGGCTGTATCTTCAAGAGTTCTTGAGATTTTCACTTGAAATATGAAATATTTTCACTTGAAATATGAAATAATAGATTTTTTTAAATTTTAAATTTTTGATATTTATTCCTATGATAGTCCATAGATATATATTTCTTTAGTCTACACTTCCGAAGGTCTCAGGAAATATATGTATGTTTTTTTCAAATTTTCAATTTTGGGGGAAATTTGAAAAATATTTTTTTTTGTGCTCTTACAAGTCCTAATCAAAATATTTTTTTTTAATTCACACTTCTGCAAGCCTTGGATATTTCCAAAAAAAAAAAATTAGGGTTTGTGTTTGCTATAGAAAAATGGTTTATTTTAATCAAAGCTTCTAGTAGCCCATAGACAAATATTTTTTTTTAATAATGTGTAATCCTGTAGTCCTTATCAAAAAGCTTTTTTTAAGTTTTTCTTCTGAAAGTCCTTAGAAAAAATTTTTTTCAAAATTTGCGCTTTTGACAGTCCTTAGAAAAAAAAATAATAATGTGTAATCTTGATAGTCCTTATCAAAATATTTTTTTTAACCAAGCTTCTAAAAGTCCTGGAAAAATATTTCTAAATATTTGCGTTGTTTATAGTCCTTAGGAAAATAGGCCTTATCAAACGATATTTTTTTACATCCATGCTTCTAAAAGACCTGGGAAATATTATTTTTTCAATATTTTTTTAATAATGTGTAGTCTTGGTAGATTTTTTTAAAGTTTTAAAGATTCTTTTAATTCGCACTTCTGAAAGTCCTTAGAGAAAATAGAATAATAGGCCATAGAAAAAAATGTAATAATGTATGCTTGTAATGCCTCCTTATCAAAATATATATTTTTTTTTAATCCACGCTTCTGAAAATCCTTGGAATTTTTTTTTTTATGTTGTGCTTGATGTCCTTAGAAACATATTTTTTTAGAAATGTGTGCTCCTAATTAGGACTATTTTTTCTTAAATCCATGCTTATGAATGTCCTGGTATAAAATACTTTTAAATATTTGGGCTGTTCGTATTCTGTTCTGAAAGTCCTTAGAGAAAATATTTTTATTTTAAATATTTGCGTTCTTAGTAGTCCTTCTCAAAATACATAATATTTGTTAAATCCACGCCTATGAAAGTCCTTAGTAAAAATATTTTTAATGATAGTCCTTAAAATTTTTTTTTGTTATTATCCCTGCTAATGAGAGTCCTTCTAAAATATGTTTTTTTTTTATTCTAAGATTCTGATGTTAGAAAGAAAGAAATCAATATTGCCGGTCATGAATACCTAAATATTTGCGCTTATGAAAATATTTAGGGATTCATGACCGACATAGAAAAATCATTTGAAAGTATAATAATTAGATTTATTTTTTTATAATATATTTCCCAATAGTCCTTATTAACAGATATATGTATATTGTTTTTTTTTTTTTAACTTCACATGTAATAGTCCTTAAAAATATATTTGTTAATAAAACAATAAAGCTTGGATTTAACAAAAAAAAAAAAAAATAAAGGTTATCCTCCTTGATTTTCTTTATTTATTTTTTTTTTCATTAAATCTACGGTATTGATAGTCCTCAGAATATTCTCTGAAATATCTTTACAAAAACTAGTAAGTGTCCTTAGAAAAATATTTTCTTAAAATGCACGCTTCTGTTGATCCTTTGATTTTTTTTTTATATTTACTTTTTTTCTATTAATCCTTAGAAAAAATGTTTTTTTTTAACACCATCTCCTTTTCTATACCATCAAGTGTTTACATATTTGTTTATTTCCTTTTGCGGAAAACCACATCCACTGTCTGTCCCTTGACAACTCTTTTTTTATTTCTTTATGGGATTTTTTTATTTGCCTCCCTCGCGCTCTCTCTTTTTTTCGTTGGTGGTTTACTTTTTATGAGATCGAACACTTGGCCAAATGTATTTTTACATATTCCGCAATAATAATTTTTCCAGCTTAGTATTTCTACACGCTAAATCTCTCTGGCCCTTGCATTGATCCCTTTTTTAACAAAAGTTAAATCCGTTTTTTTTTCTACGACTTCGTCGTCATCGTCTTGATCATGGCTTAATGCCTCCTCGTTCATAAAATCCCCGATGGATTTATTTTTCGCGTTTTTAAGTCCGGCTCAAAAGTTAAGTAAGGTCGAATGTTTGTTTGTGCGTGCGTGTTAAGTAAGCGATTAGAGGACGGTGCTGTAACGCTGTTTTTAAATCGCCGAGATTAGCGGAGTGTGTGCCGTGCTAGGACTACACAAGCCGGGCATATAGTTAGTGGCTTATGTTTTTAATCCATTCTCAAAAATCAACAAGGATTTTGATCCAGACTAGTCGCACACACACACACACATGCACACATCTTCTACGTACCTGACCTACCTGGCTTGGTGACGGCGGCGGCTGGATTGGTTGGTTGGATGGTTTTGCGCTCGTGTGCCCACAGAGCCTACCTGGTTGTGTGTGTGCGTGTACACACACATTGACTTCTTCATCTAATCTCTCTCGCTGTGTGCTGTGTGTGTGCATATGGGGAGGCTGTGCGTAAATGAGGGTGTGTGTGCCGGACGGGCCTATATCCTTTTTCTCTCACTCTCTCCCATTGGCTCACTCTCCCTCTTTGTGCATGTTTTGCCTTCTCTGTTTTCGTTTAAATATCTGTGTGTTTTTTGCTTAGAGCATCAGTTGCATTTCAGCATCGAAACGTGAAACATAAACACGCTCCTACAACTCTTCTTTTCTACGAACTTATTTTTATTTTACGAAGAAGAGTTTCGAAAACAAGATTTTATAAAAATCGAGTTTTAATTTAGAATCATCAAAAAAATATATATTTTATACGGATTACCAATCATCGACAACTTCCAAGAAGTTTTATCACAATTTTGGATTTATTTTTTTAAATTTAAAATTAAATTTTTGGAAATTATAAAAACCCAACAACAACAACGAAGAAATTAAAATTGGATTTTTAATTTTTTTCGCCCACCAATTGGATTTCTTTTAATAAGGTACCTATCATCTCAACAAAAGCCACATTATTTGGATTACTGTGCAATAAATAAAAAAAGTGAACAAAAAAAAAATTACAACAAAATTAAAAAAAAAAAAAACAAAAGAACATTCAAAACTATTTTTTGAAAGTGTTTCAATATAAGAAAAAACCTTCTCATGTGCCCAACCAAAAGCATATTTTTTTTGTAAGGACATAAAAACAAAAATCCTCCTTGCCTCCCACCCCTCCATTTGGGTTTGCTGGGAATCGCGTAAAATTCAGCGCTTGCGCTGTAAACCCGCCGCACAAAAAATATTTTTTTATTTTTGTTGTAATTTTCTTTCATCATTTTTTTCGTCAAAGCCTTAAATCTTTTTTTTACATTTTAACTAATTTTTAAATATTTTTCTCAATTTCTTTCAGATCTCCTTTTAATACTTTTTTGGAAAGCTGGATAACAAATCACAAAAAACTGTAGATTGAAAAAATTCAAAAACAAGGGATTTTCAACTTCCCAAAATCACAACCAAAACACACACACATACCCACCACACACACACACACCATGCAAAATTGGGACAGCTCCAACATGCAACAAACAGCCGCCGTCAACAACAGCAGCAACAATTTCATGGAACACAACACATGGTACAATCAAATGTTTGCCGCCAATATTAAACAGGAACCGGGTACTAGTCCCTACCACCCACAGCAACAACAACAACACACAATGATGGCCGCCTCCCAGTCACAGCACTCACCTTTGGAGAGCTACTTGAAGCAACACAGCAGCCACAACAACACCAACAACCATTTACAGTTCACCAATCCCGAAGCTGGCACTCCCTCACCCAACAATGCCGCCGGCGATTTCTTTGAACAACAACAACACCAGCTATACCAACAACACTTTCAACAGGCCCAACAGGCTGCCGCTCAAAATCAGGTTAGCTCTCATCTGCCCTTGGGTTTCAATCCATTGACACCACCCGGTCTACCCAATGCCGTATTGCCGGGCATGAATCACTACTATTCCGCTCAGCAGCAGCAGCAGCAACAACAACGTCTTTTGCAACAAACCCCCTCACCTGCCTCCTGCCTAAATGATGTTCATCACGACAAGAGTTCTGCACTGACACCACGTCACACACCACCCATGGACATTACACCACCCAAGTCCCCCAAAACCTCATCGGCGGTACAACCCATGGACCAGCACCACGAAGATCAAGACTTGATCTCGAATTCCAGTGAAGACTTGAAATACATTGCCGAATCCGAAGATGATGAATCGATCCGCATGCCCATCTACAACTCACATGGCAAAATGAAGAACCACAAATGCAAGTCCTGCGGCATGGTGGCCATCACCAAAATGGCTTTCTGGGAACATGCCCGCACCCACATGAAACCCGAAAAGATTCTGCAATGTCCCAAATGTCCCTTCGTCACGGAATTGAAACACCACTTGGAATATCACATTCGCAAGCACAAGAATCTCAAGCCATTCCAGTGCGATAAGTGTTCCTACAGTTGTGTCAACAAGTCCATGTTGAACTCACATCGCAAATCGCACTCTTCGGTGTATCAGTACCGTTGTGCCGATTGTGATTATGCCACCAAATACTGCCATTCCTTCAAGCTGCATTTGAGGAAATATGAACACAAACCCGGTATGGTTTTGGATGAAGAGGGCATTCCCAATCCCTCGGTGGTCATTGATGTCTATGGTACCCGCCGAGGTCCCAAAAATAAGTCAGCAGCCAATGCTGCCTTGAAAAAGGCCTGTAGCGATTTGAAGATACCTCCCACCTCACAATTGTCCGCCGCATTGCAGGGTTTTGCCTCGCAACAACCAGCTTCGCCAGCCAAGAGTAACAGCTCCGTGGCTTCGGAATTGCCAGCCTTGACTTTGAATATGTCATTGCAACAGAATTTGCAGCAGCAGCAACAACAACAGCAATCACCTGGTGGCCAAAGCCAAAGCAGTCAGCAGCAGCAGCAAATTAACAACTTGTTACCTCCCCTGGCCTCGTTGTTGCAACAAAACCGCAACATGGCCTTCTTCCCCTACTGGAACTTGAATCTCCAGATGTTGGCTGCCCAACAACAGGCTGCCGTCTTGGCCCAGCTATCACCTCGTATGCGTGAACAATTGCAGCAACAACAACAAAATAAGCAAAACGAAGCCACTGATCCGGAACTCATTGATGGCGAGGATGATGATGAAGAGGAAGATGATGAAGATCAGGAGGAATTCGATGGCAAATCGGTGGATTCTGCCATGGATCTATCTCAGGGTACCCCCACCAAAGAGGAACAACAAACCCCCGAAATGGCCATGAACTTGAAATTGAGCGAAGAACATGGTGAAACGCCTTTGTTCTCCTCCTCTTCGGCAGCCCGGCGTAAGGGTCGTGTCTTGAAATTGGATCAAGAGAAAAACGGCACAATGCACATACAATCGGCACCCACCTCACCTCAACATCATGCCACGGAAATGCCAACCAATACTTCATCGCCCATACATCCCAGCCAGGTTGGAAATGGTGAGCACTGTTCCGCAGCCGATGAGTCTATGGAAACAGCGGCTGGACACCATGCCGCCAACAATACCTCTGCCAATACCAGTGCAAGTTCCACGGCCTCCTCATCGGGCAACAGTTCCAACAGCTCCTCCTCATCCTCGTCGAATGCCAACAGCAACTCCTCCTCGGCAGCTGGCAGTCCCGCCAACAACAACACCACCATGTACGAATGCAAATACTGTGATATCTTCTTTAAGGATGCCGTGCTCTACACCATTCACATGGGCTATCACAGCTGTGACGATGTCTTCAAGTGCAACATGTGTGGTGAGAAATGTGATGGACCCGTGGGTTTGTTTGTGCACATGGCACGCAATGCCCATTCGTAAGAATATCCAAGCTCCTAATACCTTTCCCGCTCATCCCGTCTTGACTTGACTCACAATTTGTAAATTGTTTTTTTTTTTATTTTTGTTATTATTTTTTCGTTGCTTTGAATTGTAAATAATTAAAAAAAAAATCTTAGTAGCTTAGGAGGGGTCTGGTGGTCCCTCGTCGGTCACCAGGTCACCTAAGTGAATCGTTGTCATGAATTGTAAATATGAAACAAAAAAAAAAATTAGATTTTAAGTTTAAATATTTTTTTTATTAATTTTAAGTTTTAAATGGTTCCTTCTTAATTTTTGGTGTAATTTTTTTATTGTATAGCTCTTTTTTAATCGAAACAATGACGTATTATTAATATTATTTTCCAGATAGGCAAAACAAACGAACAAACAAACCATAACTCTAGTTAAATTTTAATTATTATTATTTTTTTTATTTTCTTAATTATAATTAATTTTAACAAAAACCTTGAAAGGTTTAAAAAGTCTTTAGTTCAATAAGTTTATATAAATATTTTATAAGTTTATTTTTTTTAAATAACAATAATCAAAACAATTTATAAAACAAAAAAAAACACACAAATTCTTTTTATTTCAATTTAAAAAAAAAATAATTTTTTTTATTAAAAAAAATTTTATATTTTAAAACAAAAAAATATGAAACTCAACGAAAATCAAAACAAACCAAACCCTGAAACAAAAAAATACATAACCAAACCAACCAAGTCATTAGTTTTTAGTTATATTTTTTAAAAAATATATTATATATACAATAATTAGAAATAATAATTATTTTCATTATTTGTTTAATTTTAAGCCAAAATTATTTTTTTTTTGTAAACAAGAAAAGGGACAAAACAACAGGATAAATTATTATAGAGAGATCAAATACCAAAAACTAAACTTTTGTGTGTGTAATTTTTAAGAAACATTTTTATAAAAAAAAACAAACAACTGGAAAATAAAACCAAAAATTATTTTTTTAAAAAAACAATAATTATATTTTTGTGTTCATTTTTTATTTAATTTTTTTTTTATAATTATTTTTTCAATTTCATTTGCAATGCCATTTACCACAACAACAAGCCATTACCATAGCCATACCATAAACCATAGAACCAAACCAAACTGCAGAAAAAAAAATAAATCTTTTCAGATTTTTTTTGTAAAAAAAAAACCAAAAAAAAAATATTCATCATCACCAACCAACAACAAAAACAATAGCAATAAAAAAACCAATACCAATTTTTATGTTCACCATCATACCACATTACATACATTACCATTTTACCAATAGCCATAGTTATCCGTATAATAAGTCCATATTTCTTCAGCAATAATTTGAAAAAAAGTCAAGCTTGGACAGACCTGTAAAAGGAAGCTATTAAAAAAAAACAAAAAATATACAGGAAAAACCCCTTGGATATATGTTGACATTTAAGAGGGACTTGAAAAATATTTTTTTTTAAAAACCTTCATGTGGTACTAGAAGAAATATTTTTTACAAATCCACGCCTGGTTGGCTACGTAATTTTTTTTTTAAATCCAAGTCTTTTTGGATAATTGAAATTTTTATAAATTCACTCCTTGTTGGCTATTAGAAAAAATTTTTTTTTTTAAAAAATCGTCGCCTTGTTGGCTTCTGGAAAAATTATTCTTTAAAAAATCCATACATTGTCGGATACTTAAAAAAATTTTAAAAATCCAAGCCTTGTTGACAATTTAAAAAAAAAATATTTGTAAAAAATTACACAAAAGCAATTTAAAAACCAGTAAGGAAAGTAGTAAAGTCGGACTGGGCCGACTATATAATACCCTTCACCACTTTGGGTATATTCTACATATGTATTTTAACAGACGTCGCCCTTTCAAAGGAACATTGACATGAAATTAAACGAACTTAAATATGCGATCTTTGTGTATAAGTAAACCGACTAACATCAATTCCAACACATGCCATTCTGCAACCTATTCCATACTTTGTAAATAGATTTAAAGCAAACTTTACACATGCTATTTGGTATGCTTTGTCAATCGGCCTAGGTATGGGAAACTTATCACGCATAATTCTGGACCTAATTCAGTACCCTATGCCAAATTTCGTGCAAATCGAAAGATATATAGGGACTTTGGAGCCCAATTTACCTTATATCGGACGAAACAGTATATGGGAGCTATATCTAAATCTGACCCGATTTTCTCGAAACTTGGCTCACGTCATTCCAGCCTCAATTCCGTACACTATGCAACATTTCGTGCAAATCGAAAGATATATGGAACTTTGGTGCCCCATTTACCTTAAATCGGACGAAAATACATATGGGTGCTATATATAAATCTTAACCGATTTTCTCGAAACTTGACACGCGTCATTCTAGACTCAATTCAGTACACTATGCAAAATTTCGTTCAAATCGAAAAATATATAAGGACTTCGGTGCACCATTTACATAAAATCGGACAAACCTATATATGGGAGCTATATCTAAATCTGAACCGATTTTCACGAAACTTAGCACACATCATTCTAGACTCAATTCAGTACTCTGTGCCAAATTTCGTGCAAGTCGAAAGATATATAGGGACTTTGGAGCACCATTTACCTTAAATCGGACGAAACTATATATGGGAGCTATATCTAAATCAGGACCGATTTTCACGAAACTTAGCACACATCATTCCAAACTTAATTCAATACGATGTGCCAAATTTCGTGCAAATCGAAAGATATATAGGGACTTTGGTGCACCATTTACATGAAATCGGACGAAACTATATATGGGAGCTATATCCAAATCTGAACCGATTTTCATGAAACTTAACACACATCTTTCTAGACAAAAATTAGTGCGCTATGCCAAATTTCGTGTAAATCGAAAGATATATAGATACTTTGGTGCACTATTTACCTTAAATTGGACGAAAATATATATATGGGAGCTATATCTAAATATGAACCGATGTTTCCCAATTTCAATATGCTTCGTCCTTGGGCCAAACAAATGAGCTGTACCAAATTTTATCCAAATCGGACTATAAACGCGACCTGTACTTTGTTTACAATTTAACACCAACAGACGGACATGCATAAATCGACTCAGAAAATGTTTCTATGCTTATTCTCAAAAGGAACCATGGGTCTATCTCGTTTCCTTTTGCCTGTTACAAATATATGCATAAAGACATAAAACCCTGTACCACAGTGTGGTGAAGGATTCTTATACCCTTTTTGGTTATTTGAAAAATATTCTTTAAAAATTCCACGCCTTTTTGGCTACTTGAAAAAATATTCTTTAAAAAATTCACGGCTAATTAAAAACAATATTTTTTTCCAAAATCCACGGCTTGTCGTCTAATTGAAAAAATATTTTTAAAAACGCCACGCCTTGTTGTCTAATTGAAAAAATATTTCTAAAAAAGTCGTGCCTTATTGGCTATTTTAAAAAATCCACGCCTTGTTGGCTTCTTAAAAAATATTTTTTTAAAAAATCCGCTTATTGTCGGCTACCACAATATTCCTGTATTTATCGATTAAAAGTTTTAAAAATTAAAAAAATAAACTTTTTATAAAAAAAATCGTAACATCATCTATAAGGTCCAGCTTGACTTTTTTGTATTATCGCCATATATATTATTCCACTACTGCTACAACTACAACAAACCAGATTAAAAAAAAAACAATAGACCATAGATCCATAAGCAAAAACCAAACCATAAAAACCCAACTACAACAGCAACAACAATAGTATACCATAGACCAGCAAATAAGTATTTATTTCCTAAGTATATATTCACTCATAATAATTATTTATATTCATCAAACCAGCAACTACAGCAACAACAACAACAATAGCCATAAGATAACAAATATTCATTTATAAGCAAAGCAACAACAGAAATAATTTTTCAGAGTGTTTCCCAAACCAAAAAATAAAATTTCAAATTTTCACAAAAAAAAAATCAATGTCCCGTTTGATAGCAGAAATTATTTTTTGATTTTCCAATTTTGCAATAACAAAATATTACACTTCAGTGTTCTCTCTCTAAAAAAATCTTATGTTTTTTTCCAATTATTATTTAACTTTTTCGATAATAAATATAAAAAATGTTAATTTCCGTTAAAATTTTGAAACGAATCTATCTATATACATATAGTGATAAATAAATGTAACTTAATTCTAAGTATTAAAAGAAATTATACAAAAAAATGGAAAAACACACGAAAAACGAAGAGAAACAAATTTAAAGAGGTTAGTAAAAGAGAAATGAGAAAAATGATAAACTAATAATACGATTGAAAATAAAAATTATATTTAATTTTTTTCTAATGAAATATTTATTTTCTACCAAAAAATAAAAAACGAAATGATATAAATATGCAATGGATCAGATTGGGAGCATAGTAGTATTCACATCTTTACAAATGGCGTCCAACAGTTAGATCAGAATTAAAATTTAGTGTTTCATATTCAAGTATTCAAAATATAACTGATTATTTTACACTAATAAATATAAATGGCGCCCAACTAGGGAACAATTTGAAGTGATCTTTGACTGTCTTCATATGCAAATAACTGAAATCACAGTTCGTTCAACTTCAGAAACATGTATGTTTTTAATCTTTTACAAATAAAAAAAATCAAGTTGAATAGTTGGCGCCCAATTGGAGGACCAATTCCAAGTGATCGATTTCATATCATGGACCAGTGTCTTTCTTATATGCCAACTTATTTTAAATGTTGGGGCAAAAGTTGTATAGATCGATTTTCAAATAAATCCCATAGTTATTAGAAATGGCGCCCAACTGGAACATTTTATATATCTAAGGAATAAGGAACATTTTTATTTCCTCCGAAACTATGTGGAGTGTATATCAAATGTGTCATTCCGTTTGCAACACATCAAAAGTATCTTCGGAAATCCTATAAAGTATATATGTCTTGAACGGAAAAAATATCAATTTAGCATTGTCACTCTGACGGATATTTTGTTAGAGATCGCAA